TTTTTGCCTTTTTGCTTTTCTTTTTTGGTAAAAGAAGAGGGCGCAAAAAGAATTTCGACTGTGAAAGGAGGAAAGTGCAGCAATCGATTCCCAATTGGGTCAATGATATGGTACGGAGTAAGCGGTTTGGAATGGAATTTGGCTTCGGTTTCAGACTGATGCCCATGCAATCTCTAAATTGGAGCTTTGGAGGCTTTTAATATTATGGACTGTGATGGTTGCTGTGATTTGGAACGATGATGTGGATATCAAGGTATGATGATGGTGAGCATCATGATGCAGGAAATCATATGTAGTACAAAATACCTGCTCCGTGTGAAGAGCCTGGATGGATGCTGATAAGTACTGGAAATGTGGAGGCCAAACTAGCAACTTCTAGATCAATACTGAGTGTTGATGATTCTCTTATGATCGAAGAAAATAATGGCATTGAGTTGGTACATCAGGATACATAGCTATCACACCACTCTTGAAATCATGCATATTATTATTACCATCATACCATCATTATTATTGTCATTGAGTGCGTGCTGTGATCAATTAACCTAACTTAGGGTGCCCTGGAAATTATTGTTGCATCGGGGAACCAGAGCGTTCGCTGACTGGCGGGTTGCTCGTCGCCAATGAACACGCCCGACCATATACAGTCTTGGTACCTAGGTACCTACTCCAGTACCTAGGTAGGCACTTTAGGTACAGAGATCGCATCGGAACCAATCCTTTTCTGGGATCGTTCCATGTGTGTTCATTCTTTTTACAACGGTTATCCCGCAGAACTCCCAATAGAAATCTCCCATCCTCCGAGGCTCGATGGTCATGTCGTCATGACCTGGCTCGACCAGGTTTATTAGATTAAAATCATTTTATTTCCGTCAGCCACTTACTCAAGATCGATCTTTCCAGTTCTGACTCCGGCTATTGATATTGGATGGTTAACAAAACTGCAGAGTGCATGAAAAAAATATCAAATGCTCAAAAAGGCCTAGTGACGACAGTCAAACTATTGACTTCTAGTAGTACTACGTGAGACAAGTTCCACCAGGACAACGAAGGAGCGCCGAAGAAGATAATAATTGTTTTTCAAATCTCAATTCTCAGATAATATCTTGAACTAAGGCTACGGAGCGGCTACAGAGGCGTGGCTGTCTATGGCTTGTAAGTGGCTCGTTTAGCCAAGATCCATGAACCTTCGGGGCTGAAAGGACGCTGACCTTCCCTGGTTCGGACTACCTTAGATATCCATCCAGTATGATTAGTTGAAGAGCGGGAATTATCTTCCAGCCTTGCAAGCAAGACGACCTGAAATTTCCTTTGTATGTACAGTTGGAGACTTTCTGGCTCGCGATCTATTAATTTGGCTAAAGTTTTGTAAGTTTGTATGAATCCTAGTAGTTTCTTTGTGCTTGGATATAGATCTCAGGAACATGTAGCAGATGCCGCTACTGAGAAAACACCAGGAAAATGACTGTGGCTATGCTGCATTCCTTTGGATCCTCGGGGCTTCCGAGTACCCACTCTGGGCGTTTCAGAATCGACTCTGACATGAGCTGAATACTCCCTACTCGCTGGAGCGAGTCTGAGTCGCTGTCAACCTGTCAGTGGCCGATCATTATTCCTCATGTGTGACGGGAGCTACTTCCGGGGCTCATATCATATTATTCTGATCCATCTGTATGTCTTGGAGACTCCATCAATGTGGTTGATCTCGTGCTGTAGATTACTGTAGTCCAGTACTCTATTTCAGTCGCAGTCACTCCGACCACACAGTCTTTGTCTCCTCCATAACAAGGTTAAGGGAATGTCGAGCTTTTACTCAATTTGGGAAAAGCTTTGCCTTGGCCAGCTGTTAGTGAATAATATTTCTTTCAGTTGCTGGAACTTCAGGTACTTTCCGTATTTTTGATTCAGCATCATCCACGTCGCTTGTCTATTTGGGGTTAGCACTGCGACCAGCTCTGAAACTAGTTGAACGACAGGAGACCGAGGAGACTAGATATGGAGATGTTCTGAGTCCGAATTCGGTCTACGCAGTAGATATCTATCATAGTAGTAGTACAGGAGAAGCTTGATTAAGAGCATTGGTTTTGCAGACTATAGATGAAGAGTGCCCCAAGATAGCCTGGTCGAGGCTACATATGAGGCAATTTAGGAATGAGTGATTTTCTCCCATCTAGCCGATTTCCGAGAGATCCATGCTAATAATCGGGCAATCGGACAACATACAACGCGATTTCAATCGAATGCCTGCCATTACAGCTGGCTCCAAAGGGCCAGGAGTATCTTCGGTGCCTGGTTAGACAGGCCTCTTCCGCCTCTCATCTTGCGACATCTCACCAATCCGAGCATGAGACGGTGCCGAGAATCATCCAACAGACTAATCATCTTGCGCCAGCGTACACACAATACAATCAATCGCGTCTCGAACATATCCTCCCAACTATGCAGTGCACTGTTTTCACTTGCAGGATGCAAGAGTCCGATTTTTCCGTCCTGCCGCTCCTACGTCTATGTCCGCCACTGAATTTACTTGAGAACGGGCCGCTTTCTTAGTATATTCATTTTGAAGTGGTCGAACTTCCAAGTACAGCCAGCACTTTACGGAATATTCCACTAGAGTCGACACTCCACAAATAAATGTAAGGTTGTCCGGAGTAACTGCGAGATTTCCGTCTGCAGCATCTGCAAGGCGTCGTAATAGTGTAACCTTGAGAATGTCGTCCCTTTTCCAGCATGGCGGCAATGCAGGGGGGGTGAGATGTGAATAGTTTCGATACCTCCTATGGAAGTCCAAAACAACACTTATCTAGACCAATGCTGGAAACCTTCATGGCTGGTATGATGCGTGCTTAACGGTCTGGAGTTCAGGGCAGTCATGCTGCTTTGCATAATTACACCCATCTAACAATTGTCGGACTCTCCCGTATCTGAATACTGACGTGAGAGGATACAACGCTGCTGTTGTGACATCATCTCACATGTGCTGGTAAATAGTTGTGATTGATGATGGACAAACTACCCGCGATTGGTGATGACCAACACACATTCTGGACCGTTAATGGTTATAGATAGGCTGGAGAGACGAGAGAGTATTACTGTTGAGCCTTGAAACTGTTTTGCTTGGTCTCCAGCTCCATCCGATATTCTCCTCTTTCTTATCAATTGGCCCGTTGGGGTGTGGTTTCCCCTAAAATCATGCCGACGTCATGGAAACATTCAGAACTATCGAGGGTGCTACCTCGAATCACCCAACCACAGACGGCATTGAAGCTTCTTCCCCCTTCGATCGCAAAATCACTTAGGTAGCACACTACTGCTAGTTTCACAGTCCGACTATTTGAAAGGGAGAGCTGGCTGCAAGCCGTCTGCTTGATTACGTCCTTGGTGGATAACTCAGGGCCAACTAACTCCCTGTCCCGCTACTGCACCTACCCCGCCAGAGCACTGTTGACCGAAAATCTGCCCACAACTCGCTCGTGCTCCTGTCTTCATACGCAAGTCACAAAGTCACAAAACCTTCCTGGGAGGCTGCAGCATATCCTTGTTTCACGAACCTTGTGCATTGTCAAAGCGACGATTACACCATGACCGGCTCATCCCCCAATCTCTACAGCTTTCCCAACACCGACGCTTTGGCCCCGCACCTGAGGGCCTATGTGCTCCGGTGCCAGAACTCCGCCATCAATCGCCATAACACTTTCCGTGTCGCTGTATCAGGCGGTTCTCTACCAGCAGTTCTCGCCAAGGCTCTTCTTGCGCCTTCAAACGGTTCTCCCGAGGACACGGTCCGGTTCGATAAATGGGACGTTTTCTTCGCCGACGAACGTGCTGTCCCTCTTGACCACCCTGATAGCAACTACCGCCTGCTCAAAGATGAGCTCCTAAGCAAGATCCCTGCCGAAATGGGCACTCCTAAAGTTCATCCCATCGACGCCGACCATGTCAACGATGACACCCAGGAGCTTGCGGACTTGTACCAGGAGGACTTGATGCGCTCGTTCGCAGCCAAAGACAGTGTCAAGCTGCCTGTCTTTGATCTCATCCTTTTGGGTTGTGGTCCCGACGGTCACACCTGCAGTCTCTTCCCCGGCCATGAACTGTTGCGAGAGAAGGATGCCTGGGTGGCCGCGGAGACCAACTCGCCCAAGCCGCCACCAAAGCGCATAACACTCACGTTGCCTGTTGTCACGCACGCCGTCAGTGTCGCTTTCGTGGCCACTGGAGCGGGAAAGAAGGAGATCCTGAAGCAGATTTTCGATGCGGAAGAGGGCCGAGATCTGCCCTCGGCGCTCGTCAACCAGGGTGGTGGGGAAAAAGTGAGCTGGTTCACCGACCATGCCGCCATTGATGGGGTTGCATTCCCCAGACGTGGAAGCTTGTAAGCTGTATTGTGGACTTATGAATGGCGTTATGTTCTATTTGCTATTTTTTGCTCTTGAGAACAGTCAAGGGCGAAAAGTACCTCTACCTTTCACACGAGTCTTCTAGGTTTCCTGGCTGGCGTTACGGCCTAGAAATTGGATTAGTGCAGGGACAATGACTTTAATCCGAGATTCATTTTTATCATGTGTCCACTCAATTCAATATGAGTTCATCAAATAGCCTTTGGTTATGATTTAGAAGCTAAGAGACGGAAAAGTCTACACAGACGGCGGTGAGGGTCGTGAAAGGCGTAGCTTGAGAATTGAATGTTTTATGAATGACCGTATATACGAACTATTACCGTAATCAAATGAAGAAATAAAGCACCCGTCCAGGAACATATCCGTCAGCTCCAAGTATCAGTATCTGGATAGTCGGACAAATACAACTCGTGGAGATCGTCTCCGCCAAGCTTCGTTCATTGTTAGTGTTTACAGATCCTCTCCCGCACCAAGCTGCATCACTCGTGATCTACCTCGCCTGCCAACGCCTTCCACAAACCCAGCCCAGACCCAGTTATACCCCATATTGATCCCTCCACTCAGAGAAATGACTCAGATGATCTAAACCCAACCTCAACCATGCCAATCCCCACGCGCTCCCTTTCCCTCCGCGGACAAAGTAAACAGGTTAGTGTTGCGAACCAGAACCAACCCCCTGTCCAACCAGCTACACAGTCAGTCAGAACCAAACTCTGTCTTTCGGCTTCGGCTTCGTTTTTATTCCCACCCATCTACGTGGCTATTGGCTGGAATATCTTACTCACTATCACCAAGTCCACCACAGGACGCACAGCAACGACAGATGGCGATGGCGATGGATCCGCAGACACACACTCAAGCACAAGCACTAGTACAAGCACAACCGATCGCAGGAAGAGTCTCCTCCCTCAGCGCAGTATCCCCGTTCGTGATCGAGACGGTGCAGCACCGGTGCGGCAGCAGCAGCAGGAGACACGGTTACAGCGAGGGAGTCGGGTCTTGACGAAGATGCCGGTAGTACAGCAGCATAAGGAGGAGCCCAGCACGGCAGTGGCAGCACCAGTGCCAGCGGCAGCTACAGCTACGGCAGCGAATACTCGACGACGGAGTTTGATACGACCTAGCCCGTTGAAGACGGGGACAGCTACGGGTGCAGGCGCAAGGACAGCGATAGGGACAGGAACAGCGACAGGGATGGGAACGAACCCGAGCGGGAGGGTTGCTACGACGCCGAAGAGCGCGACGTTCGCCGCGCAGGGATTGTCGACCTCACCCAGGAAACGCGACGGGGTCTTGTCAATGTCCCCGAAGAAAACGGATATGCCGCCGCCGCCACGGCCGACCCGGTCGGCTTCGATGAGACAGCCTTTGAAAGCTGGTGCTGGTGCTGGTGCTGGTGCTGGCGCAAGTTCCGGGACCCCGGCCACTGGGGTTAGGCATATGCGGCACCGGAGCCAGATTGTGGCGCCGTCGACGACTCAGACTCGGGTTTCCAAGAGGAGCGACTCGCAGTCTTCTGGGTCCACGTCTACGACGGCCGGGTTGGCAGCCGGGACGAGATCGAGTGGGCAGTTTACGACTTATCAGCAGCAATTCTCGCCGAGGAAGGTGGTGAGACCGGCGGCTTTGTCTGCTGCCAAGGCGTCCGCAGATGGGGAGGATTCACTGATTCCGGCGACGTGGCCGGAGATTGCGGCGCTTCAGACGGAATTACTACAGTTGAGCTTGCTACATTCATCTTCACTACAGCAGATGGCGGCACTGGAGGCTGGGTCGGAGGAACAGCTACAGACCAAGTATGACGCGGTCGCGAAGACGTATCGCGCGATTGTAGGGGATGAAAAGAAGTGCCAGCGGTTGCTTAATGGGCAGGCCTTGAATCGCTGGCTTGAGAATGCCAGCGAACATGGTGGTCGCCAGAATTTCGCTGCGCAGATCCAGGTCTTTTCGCAGCTGGTGCAGGATGTGTGTGATTTGACCGACAGTCTCGGAGGCAGGTATACTATGCTTGTCCAGGAATTCGAAGAATGGTTCCGGAAAGTGCAAGCGATTGAGAGCATGCGACTTCATCGACACCAGGGAGATGCGAGCCATGTGGTTTTCATTGATCCGCTCGATCGTGTATGGAAGGACGAGGTGCACGCCATGACAATGAAGCTTGAACAGAGCTTGATGCAGCTGCAGAGCCTGGATATTGCGGGCTACGACGGACCAGAGCAAGTGCCCGCTGATGCTGCACTTGTACGCACAGCCAAGGGACTAGACGTGATGATCGCTTCGATGGTGGACGAGCTGAAAGCGATACGTAGGATCGAAGCGCAAATTGTAAGGTTGGAGAGGCAGTGGGTTAGTCAGCTCACGGCCGAATTGGCTGCAACCCACCCGCGAGATGCGAGGGGCCCGAGGCCTGGAATGTGGAGAACTGCGCTGTTGAGGTCATAGACTATTCTATTTGGATTTATCTGATGGATCGACCATGGAATCCACGGAATATCTATCGCTTCGCAGAGTGTGAGTATCAGGGCACGACGCTCAGTAGCCAGCACTGTACCTAGCACCTCCGCTGCAGCTGTCTACTGGCAAAGGACCGGAATTTAACCACGGCCCGTACGTAGGGAGGTTTGGCGCTAGATAGCACACCCGTCGCTGTGAAGGGATAGAAACCGAGAGAAGAGGGGAGCGGCGAGCAGAGAGAGAAACCAGTCAAAGAAGAGCTGCTTAGAGCAGGCCCACCGACAGAAAACTCGGGCGAAAGGGTTTCACAATGACACGTTCATTGCATCCAGAAATGCCGTCTGTCGGTACGAGAAAGTGTCATCGACAGGGACGGAAAACCTGTTCCTCGCCTGGGCCATGATTCCAACCCATCTGCATTCCTGAGACGGCTCACACCTGGTTATTTTATTCATTTCCTTTTTTCCCCTCTCTCATTCTTTCCTGAACCCGCCAACAGTCTCGACGGGATCTATGAAAATCCTGATCAGTGCAATGGGCCGCCGGTTGAGATTCGGGCTAGTATGCCTTGATTTGAACGAATCGCCTCGCTTCACGAAAGTAGTCCTATTTTTCGGTCGATCACGCCCTCTACCTTGGCTCTTTTTCCCAACTTATGCAAGTCTGAGAATTCGTGGGGTGGAGGGGCCGCCGGCTGAGAGGTACCAAAAGTTTGGAAGGTTGACCTTGTTCTCCATAAAAATGATAGCAATCAGCCACTGAAACCTGAACTTGTGCGATGCGGAAAACAGGACTTTGCATTTCATTGTCCGGGATTCTGCCAGGGTAATTCTTAGACCTGTTTTGTGTCTGAGATCGCCTTTTCGATCAGGATTTTTGGTAGAATAGGCGTTGATGAGCTGACGAAATGATGAGCATAGAATGACAGTGATTTGCCACGAGTACCTCTTACGGTCCTAGAAAGGTATCATTATTATGAACAAGTAGAGAGGTAGAAGCTGAGAAAACGAGGATAGATAGCGGACAGCTTCTCAGAGAAAAAAAAAAGAAAAAGAAAAACATACTTTAAGCAGTAAGCAAGCTAAAGTATCTTCCCTAACCTTGCTAGTAGTAGTACTCTTTATCTACTAGCTATTATTCGGCAGAGTAGCAGCCAGCTGGGGGGACACAGACATCTAGATTCCTGAGTTTGCTGCAATCTGCGAGCCATTCAGAGCGCTTCAAACCCCATCAGAGACGGTGACAGGCGGGCTTTGCTTGACTAAGCGGTGGAGTCCCTGCTGGCCGGCGCGATCATCATCGTCGGGTCCGACTCGGGTGTCACATTTCAGAKAAACTCGTGCCGAACGGTCGACTAAAGTAAGAAGATGCAATCCTGTTGCAGGTGGTGAGAGAGAAAAGTATTCAGCAAGAGAAGGGGGTAACTCTTGCCGAGACAATGTTAAGTAGTGATTGGCAAGCAAAGAGCCATATTTATTCCTTGTCAGATGTAAGTAGAGGTGGTCGCCCAGAAGAAGAATGGATCCAGCGACAGTACAACCTAGAGCACATAGGAAAGCTGCTTCGACACAACCCATACTTAGAATAGTGGTTCGGTAGGTGTGAGTCTGGACCTGGAATGGATGGATCGATCCATCTGGTTTAAGAGTCAAGCCTCAAGGCCCCTCTTTCGGTTCCTTTCGTTTGTTCTTCTCTTGGTTTCTATCTAACATTCCACCTCTTTTACTCGCGCCTCTACTTTTCCCTCTGTTCGGTCTCATTCCCCAACCCACCCTTATCGACCCGATCTACTGAGATTAGCTTCGTCTGATCGTGCTTCTGCATTTTCTCTTCCCCGGATCTTCTTCCCCCCTTGGTTCTTACCTGCTTCATCTCTTGTCTACCACATTCTTCCTGGCCAACTATCTATCGCCGGGACTGACGTCACCTCACCCCCCAAAGAGAATCCGTCGGCACTGAACTGAGGCTCTGGATCGCCCGGTCGAGATGGTCCACACGCCAGGAGACTAGAAAATCGCCTCCCATTTAGATCGCATATCCGGCCCTAGCTTCTGCATCGACGCCAACCATGAAGGACTCACTGTATTATCGCATCTGGCGCCGGGAGTCGGGATACACTTCTCCCTCAGCGACTATTCGTGGTATATATGGCTCCAAGGAATGGATCGACGATTTGGATATTGTAAATGAGCTGGGGGGTCACACAGGCTGCGTCAACGCGTTATGGTATGTGCTAGCTGTGAGACCACTAACTATGAACTTTCTCTGACAAGGTTTCTAATTTCCGGCGGTAGTTGGTCGCGATCTGGTCAGCTGTTGGCCTCGGGTTCTGACGATCTGCATCTCAACATCTATTCCTACCAACCGGAATCCTCGTCCGCGCCCTTTACGCTCAACACCACCATTTACACGGGCCACAAGGCGAACATCTTCTCGACCAAGTTCATGCCCCATTCGAATGATCGCACGCTGGTGACGTGCGCCGGTGATTCTCAAGTGCGCGTCTTTGACATCGAGTATTCCGCAGGTAACGGCAATGTCGCCGCAACGTCTGCCTTTTCTGCGTCGGCCCGGAGCCGTCGCTTCAACAATTTCTTCAGCAATGCGCGCTACCTGAACGAAACAAACACAAATTGCAGAGTCTATCGGAGCCACGCGGATCGGGTCAAGAGGATTGTCACCGAGTCATCTCCGTACCTCTTTCTCACGTGTTCGGAGGATGGCGAGGTTCGCCAGTGGGATTTGCGCCAGCCGTCTTCCGCCTATCCACAGCCGCGCGGGGGACAGGGCTTCATGGCGTACCGGCCGGGTCTGGATCATGACGATTCGAATGTGCCTCCTCCGCTGATTTCCTATAAACGGCACCGTCTGGATCTCAACACCATCTCGTGCTCCTCGAGTCAACCGTATTACATCGCGCTGGGCGGCGCCCATTTGCATTGCTTCTTGCACGACAGGCGAATGCTGGGACGGGACCTGCTTGCGGAAAAGGGCCATCCCGGGGGTCTCTCCGACAGCGGTAGCCAGCACGATGAGGAACTCATGGGACAGGCGACGAGATGTGTTCGGAGGTTTGCCCCCGGCGGTAAGAGACGAATGAGCCCCCGGGATAATGGGCATATTACCGCCTGTAAGATCAGCGACGCCAATCCGAACGAGATGGTTGTCAGCTGGTCCGGAGACCATATATACAGTTTTGATCTGCTTCGGAGTCCGGACGCGAACGACCCAGCGTCGGCGGTTCAGACATCCGTCCAAGGAAGTCCTAGTTCACATAGGCGCCGAAGCTCAAAGAACAGAAAACGTAAACGGCGAAAGGTAGCTTCGCTGTCGTCGCAGTCTAGCGGCAACCGCCATCAATCGCGTCGGCGATCGGCGGAGCACGATGATAGCGGTGAGCTAGCCTTCAGAGTCCGCTATGGCAATGGAGAGATGGAGGATATCCCGTTCCCCTCGCTATCCGAAACAGTATCCAGCGCTCCGCAAAATGTATTGGAGCAGGCGCAGTATTCGGTTCTGAACGAGGCACAGCGGCTGAGCATGCGTATTGCCAAAGGGCTTGTTAAGCTGCGCAAGGCCCTCTTCTCCTTGGAAGCATCGGTGCGCGAAGCCACCGAGGCCTCAAGCCCATCCGATCTGACGCCGTACACTGCTTCGTTTTCTACTGTGTTGACACACGCGGCGGAGCAGCTGCCCCGAATGGGAGAAGTCATGCGGACATGGAGATATCCTCTCGACCCCAGCCCAGACGTCGTGAACTTTCAGCAATCTCTTCGTCGTAATCGGGAATCCGCCTGGAGATTCGTACAAGCTGCGGGAACACTTGCACGGTTTCTGGGAGGTGAGATCCAAAGTTCTTCCGAAAATGAAGATTCGGCGATGAACCTATTCCAGCAGATAGTACCTGCACCCGGCGAAAATAATGTGATTGTCACGAAAGAGCAATTTGGCTACGACTTTGTCAAAGCTATCTTGTTGTTCTTCGAAGGAGGAAGGGCCGCTGTATTGGCTGGGTTCAAGAGCAATCCTTTTCACAGGCGTAATCTGGCGCGATATCCGATTCCTGAAACAGCTGACGACAGTGCTATCGAATCGGTCCTGGTTCCTTACCTTCAAAGCTTGGCAGGGGACTATCCGGTGGTGAATGTCGATGCCTCGAGATTTGAACATGACAGCACTCGCACATTGTTTCCGACACAACATGCTGCAGTTGCCGCCTTTGCAAATGCCGTGCAATTGCCACTGGAGGATTTGGGACATGTTGCAGCCCGGGTCAATGGTGATGGTGGGACTGCACATCACGTTCGGTCTCTTGACCGGGCGTCAGCAACCAGGTTCTGGGTTCTCAAGGTAGGTCGAGGCATCTTGATGGAGACAGGTACTGGAGTCAACTACGCCTTTGTGAACCGGGCCTTTGGCGGGCTGCGCACAGAAATCGAAGATAACTCGGACGGTGAGCTTCCGCAAGAGAGAGTGCAAGAGGATATCGACGGCAGCGTCGAGGAGGAGCCGATCCAAGAAGTGCACCTCGTGACTTCTGGTGGCCTCATGAATGGAGACTCTACTCATCGGCACACACGAACCTCCAACCAGAACGGACCGCGGACGAGGTCCACTAACGGCGGGCCGGGAGGTAGGGATGGGGCCTCTATTGAGCACGGCGATGCGGCGGTCGTGAGCGAGGATGGCTCCGATGAATCCACCGAAGATGAAGAAGAGGACGAGGATGAAGGAGACTTCGACATGGAACTTGGCGATTCTTCTGATGAGGACGAGGATGAGGACGAAGCCGAGGAGCATCTCATCAACAGATATGGTTTCCGACGAACGCGAAGAGAGGATGTCGAACTGGACGTGCCTTGTTCCTCGCATACTAAAGTCTATCGGGGGCATTGCAATATCAAGACAGTCAAAGACGTCAATTACTTTGGACTGAATGATGAATACGTCGTGAGTGGCAGTGACTCTGGCCATGTGTTCATCTGGGATCGGAAAACAGCGAACCTGGTCAACATACTCGAGGCGGATAGCGAAGTTGTCAACGTTGTGCAAGGTATGTTCATTGTGACCATACATACGGCATTAACTCACGCCTATTTGTAAGGACACCCGTACGAACCGACCATCGCCGCTTCTGGAATCGACAGCACTATCAAGATCTTCTCACCCGATCGACATGCGCAGGAAAATGCACGCCGCGGTGTCAACATCCTGGACCCCGATAACCCAGCTAACACGCTCGGTGCAAACGTTGCCGGTATTGGCGGCCTCAAAAGCTCCAAACGCATCCATGATAGCTACCGGATCATGAGTCAAAACGACGTCGATCGTCAAGGAGGCATGAGCGAGGCGTACATCACTGTAAGTCGTTTGCTCCTTCGTTCTTGGGCTTTTATCCTTCCTTTTTGCCTGCATAATCTGACACCGTCATCCTCAGAGGAGTATGCTGGCTCGGTTAGCTGCTACATTACGGCAAAGACAGACTGTTGGAGGTGCATTGGTGGACGGAGCGGGCGAGGGCGCTACGATTGTTCTGGACGAAAATTGCACTGTAAGCTCTCGTATATTCTTATTTCTTGGCACCTTCATGGTTTGGAGACTAAACATGTTCTGTACAGGTGATGTGAGTCCGCCTCGCAGGATGCTCTCGGAGCGTGGTCGACTGGTCAACTGGCCATGCTTATGATTCTTCAACGTTATTATTAGACCCAGGTTGCCAACATTATTATCTACACCCATCCTTGGGACTCTTGCGCATGTCATGCACTGGCAGCGTATTGTAGTAAGTAGCACTTGGACATGGTAAAATCGATCGACAGAATCGACAGAATTGTAGCGTACATAATCACAAATGCTCTGCATCATCCATAGTCCATACATTCCCAGAACTGAAGTGCAACCTAGTCAGTGATGTGCTGTGACTGTATGATCTACTCGTCAACTACCAATTTAACCTTATCATCACGTGACGATAACGATACCCCACGTTTAAAAAAATCGAGAGAAGGATATGGGTCCGAGATCTTCGTGAAGCAATTGCAATTTGATGCCGTTCTTGATATATGTGTATAGCACCTAGCCCTTCTTCTTGTCATTATCATTTATTGGCCTACACATAGAAATCCCGGAGTACCAACCTGAATACACCGTCCACAATCCAGAGCACAGCATATATTCGCATATAACAAGAACAAATTGCGAATTTTACTCCGGCAGCAAATGTCCAATTTCCCAGATATCTGAATATACACTCCATTTCGCTGCTCGCAAACGATCTATTCCCAAACATGAACACAGACAAAGACGCAGACGCGCTCCTCCGCGAACGCTCCGAAGTGACCTCCCAGCTGTACGCCGACCCGCACAATCCGCACAGATACCTTGACCGAGGCCGGATACACGAACGCCTGGGCTTCTCGGATCTTGCGTCGGCGGATGCGTACCGGGCTTTGTCGTTGCTGGAGTCTGTTGTTGATCCCGATGGGTGCGAGTTTCAGGCTATGCGGCGGGTTGGGAGTGGTGATGAGGAGGATGAGGAGGAGGGCGAGGGGGAGTTCGAGGATATATCGCAGGAGGAATATGATGGTATGATTGGGGGCGTGTATGGGTTGCTTGTGAGGAGCTTGGTTCGGTGTGGATGTTATCGGGATGCGTATGAATTCTGTGTGCGGGGGCTTGCGTTGTTGGAGGATGAAGGTGTGGGTGCGGAGGACGAGATCGCCGGGCTGAAAACGCAGCTGGGCATTATTAAGAAGGTATATGCTGCTAAGCATGGGAAAGAGGGTGAAGAGGAGGTGGTGGTGGACCCGAGCGTGCTGAATGCGCAGGGCTACGCGAGGCGGGTGCTCTACCCGTGGAACACGCATGAGCCTGACCGCAAGGCGCCCGAGACACTGGCGTTGCTGAACGAGCGCCTGAAGGACGTTGCGCCCAAGTGCGAAGTCAGGGCCGTTGCGCTGCCCGCGTTGCATGGTACGGCTACAGCCCCCGCCGCGGCCTCGGACGAGAGCGCAGCAGAAGTCTCCGTTCAACTGGGTCTATTCGCAAAAGAAGACATCGCTCCCGGGGAGATCCTGCTGCACGAGTCGTCGCTGCTCACAGCCACCAACCGCCTCCACGATGACCTCTGCGATGCCTGCAACGCCCCTCTGCCAGAGCTCTCGTCCGCCGAACCCCCCGTCGCGTGCGCTGGCTGCGCCGACACCATCTTCTGCAGCCAGAAATGCCACGACACGGCCCAAACCGTCTACCACGGCGCCGTCTGCGGCCTCATGGACAACCTCGAGTCGATCGGCAAGGATATCCCCGACCCGAAGGACAAGGCCGATTACCTGTACCTCCTGCTCCTGGGCCGGGCCATCGCCATGGCCGCCACGCAAGATATGCATCCGCTCGACCTCCCCGAGGTGAAATACATCTGGGGAGACTTCCACGATCTCGACCTCGACAACCCTTTAGGTTCAGACGACCCCACCGCCACCCTCCCCTTCTCCTTCCAGCTCAACATCCTCCAGCCGATGCGCATCCTCGAGGAAATGGAACTCGACCCGTACGCCAACCTCGCCCGCTACGACACCTGGGTGCTCAACACGCTGTACGCTAAATTCCGCGGCACTGCATCGGGCCGCCTCTCCACCTGGGACGGCGGGCCGGAGCTCTGCGCGGTGCATCCGCTCTGGTGTCTGGCGAATCACTCGTGTGACCCCAACGTGCGCTGGGAATGGGGCGGCGAGATTACGTTCCGGGCGCGGACGGAGGCCGAGCGAGCGGTGTGGAAGGGGGAGGGGGCGCCTGTGCGGCGGACAGGCGAGGGGATCAAGGCAGATGAAGAGATTCTGAATCATTACTGTGATATTGGGCTTGATGTGAAGGAGCGGAGGGAGTGGGCTAGGGGCGCGCTTGGGGGTTTGTGTCAGTGTGACAGGTGTGTCTGGGAGGCTTCTACGGCGTAGATGATTGGATTTGGTACATAGAATGGTTGTGACGGCGATACAGCACTCAAGATACCCGATAGATGACTGAATGAAATACGCGAATCTTACAGAGACTTCATGCATACGACCAATAGATTCAATGCAGATAGTCAAGACCTCTGGTATTGTGCATAGCAGCTTGCAAACAAATTCACAGCCTAGAAATATAGATACACCTTTGAGAACCTTTCCCCGCCCATGTTGTTCCAGTCATTTTGCCCATTAAAAACCTGCTGAGTCATTGTACAATGTCCAAGTACCGAAGGGCATAATTCAAAATGAGTTTTTCTCTTCTTACAAATAGTCGGAGGCCCGGCCCCGACGAGGCGGAGTCCTAGAAAGAGATCTGCGCTTGTTGGAGTCGCGAGGTGGAGGCGAGCGAGATCGTGAGACGGAGCTCGAGTTCCTCCTGCGTCTCTGTTCACGTCCATACCGTGGGGGAGGACTGGGCGATCGTGACAAAGAATCTCCACGGGCACGGCGACCAGGAGGAGGACGTTGAGGCGATACACTTCTCTCGGCACGTCGACGAGGAGGAGAAAGAGACTGCGAGGAGTAGCGTCTGACACGCGCCTTTGCATCCCCAGCTCGCGGTGGCGGGGTAACAGAGCGCGACGGTGACCTAGAGTACGACCGGTCTCTCCGGCTGTAAGAGGTTCGCTTTCTCGGCGGCGTGACGGATCGCGAAGGAGAGCGAGAGTCATAGGATTTGTCACGAACACGTCTAGGTGGTGTACGGGAGACTGACGACCTCCTTTGGCCAGCCGGCGAGCGTGAACGACTGTAGGACACTGAGCGTCGACGAGACTTTGGAACCGGAGATCTCGATCGACTGTAGCTTGGGGTATAACTTCTTCCTCGAGAAGATCCAGACACTGATCTCGAGTACGACCTTCCACGACTAACCGAGCGACGCGGACCGCGGCTTCGTGAAGGAGACCGTGAATACGAATATGACCGCGAGCGCGACCGAGAACCTGTGCATGTGGAGCAGGTAGAATGTGAACTGACAGACTCCGCATCCGACTCTGCGTCGCGTGCAGGCAGGGCGGGAACAGTCGGCTTGGGAAGGTTCTTCAAGTGTTCCCGCATGTCTTCCGTCAGAACACCGAAGCCGATACTCGTGAAGTAATTGATTGAAAAGCGGGTGTTGCGAGGGTTGTCCAGAGGGAAAAGTCCCTCGAAGCTGGGGCGCAGAATTTCATCCCTCAGGCGCGCCTGCAACTTCGCGAGGCCAAGATGTTCCCCTAGATCCTGGAACAGGATCTTGATGAAGATACGGCTGCTAGATGTCGTCTCGTCTTCATTGAGGTGAATGACCGACAAGACATGCCAGCCAATGGCGTCTGTGCTCAGCATATGGCCAAAGAAACGGGCTATATTGCGCAGACGATTAGTTTCATATCGATGGATTGTGTCGTAATACTTGGCGAAGGCAGCTTCAAAAAGATCAGACCATAAACGATTGATTTTCGCGAATCGCTCTCCAATCAAGCCATAGAATTTCGAGTACGTTCGCTCCTGGGAACAACATTCGATGACCATCGAGGGGAGTTCTGGCTCCAGGCCAGGTGGCAACGAGATCTTCATAAGCTTGTGGCAACATTCTTCGAAGTCGATACTGGACATGATAGTCAGGTAGATTGTTCGCCGGAGATTGACGAGATCTGTATTGCTCTGATCCTTGATCTCCATCTGTCGTTCTTCCTCCTCTTCCTCGTCAGAACTCTCGTCGGTTTCGTCCTCGTCTTCCTCATCGCTACCCTCACCAAGGATTTCGGCCTTGAGTTTCTTGTAAGCCTCTTCGTGCTCCTCCCACTGAGGATCGTATTTGAAGACATTGAGGCCATCTTGAGTATCAATCTCATCATCCAGACCGATACGATGGGTGATCTGATCTTCCTCCTCAACTAGGTCGAGTTCCTCCTTGACCGCCGGGTTGTCCTTGTATCTATCCTTGCGAACCTGGAACAGGACCTCGATCATATATTGAACTCGTTTGTCGATGTCGGCCTCGTGCAAAATATTCCTGAATTGATCAAACACCGCCAGAGCGATGGGAGCACTCATCTCTTCCAAGTGCTGGCCAACTTCCCTGGTCAGACCGACGGCGATCTCCACACTATCATCTGTAGGTTTATGTAGCAGCAGAAGGAGGATCTGCGCGGCAAGCATCTCGTGAGCGACTTGCTGGTTACACAGATGTGCGATAAAAGTTGTGGATGAGATGCAGACGGCTTTATCGTTTCGCTTGAATGCTTTTCGGAATTGGACAATCAACCTATTGAGCAGCAATTCGCCGACCTGAGGCAACTTGGTATTGACAATGGCCGCCATTGCCGCGTAGATCGGGGTAAACGGTAAACTCGCCGCTTGCGCCTTCATGATGCTCCTGCAGAACAAACCTCGGCCACGGACCAGGTTCTCCCCGAAGAGCTCGGGAACGATGAACTTGATGTTGGACACATTGACCTTGTTGATGAGACCGTTGATGGACTTCTTCAGAGCTTCCCATGCCATACGCTGGTATTCTTTGCTGTTCTTATCCGTGATCTGCGCCTGCAGCGCGCGCAATCGAGCTGGCGGTATGTATGTGCCCCCAGATCGCATATTCAAAAGTTTTTCATACTCAGCTTTGGCGGCAGCTTGCTTCTCCTCCTCCGTCAAGGGCTTCCGTGCAGCTTCCTGCTTCTCATGCTGACGGAGGCGTTCGGCCAGCTGGCGCTCTCTTTCGACGGCACGCTCAGGATCGATACGTGGCGCATCTCCATCATCGTTCAGCGAGTCACCAGGTGGCGAGCGACGGCGACGAGGGGAAGGCGACCGAGATGGAGGAGAGCGTTTTCGCGAGGCTGAGGGTTGTGGAGAGTACGACGTGCCTGGGGGAGGTGTAGGCACGCGAACGGCGGACTGCAACACGACAGAATCCGTCATGGTTGCACTGTGTCTGAATCTACTACTCTGGAGTTTCTTGCACTAGATGTCAACTCCAGAGCTCGAGATGCAGTATGTGATCCGACAAAGTTCCAACAGTCGGGAAGGTGAGGCGGCGAAGGGAGGAAAGCCTTAGCGTCCAAAATTGTCACGTGATGTCGGAGGAGCCAAGCTGGCCTGGACTGTTTATGGGCAATATCAGAGGAGACATTTCGTTTTGCACTTCCTGCGTTTTGTTAGGAGGGAAATAACCTAATTCGAGCATCCATTATGGTGAGACTTCAATGCCACCTCAGCCATAAACCCCTTATACTGACTGACTCTGATTGCAGCTGGGCCAACTCGTTGGATCCGCCATGCTCTTGGTCGCTACCGCGATCTTCCTCTATTATACGGCTTGGACACTCCTTATGGTACTTAATCCACACACCTCTTGACGACACCTGACATGAAAACTAACTATCAAACAGCCATTTGTTGACCCCGGACACCCTCTTCATGACCTCTTTCCTCCTCGCGTGTGGGCAATCCGCATACCTGTCATTCTGACTTTACTGGGCTCGGCCGTGGTTGGTACCTTCATTGGGTTGGTAATGATCAACAGCAACAGAAAGAAGGCCGCCAAAGCTGCTGCTGCGAAGAAGAAGACCTGAATATTGCCAAGAAGGGGCGGCATACAAAGGCCCGGTGAACAAAAGCAAAGTCTACCGGAGTTGTGCAAGGGAGTTTCCCCTTTATTTTTCATCTAATAAACTTGTAACAATATTATCTAAATTCTTTGACGTTCTTTTTACCCCTGTCGAGTTAGAGAGGAATCCTTCACGTTGTCTCATCATGAGCATGTTGATGCTTGTAAATGACGAACTGATAGGTCATCGGCAGGCACGCAAGTCTACGGCACGAGGTGTCATAAGGAAATGGTACCTTGAGGGCGATTTCCCTGGACGACGATGACAAGCATACTCCGTAGTATTGATACGACCAGCAGGTATCACGTCTCAGTCGTCGCTTGATCGTCCACCAATGAGACCTTGGGGCCTTACAGATCATGGCTGTGCTGCAGAAGTGACCCCGTGACAAACTTGACACTGAACACCTGACGCTTGATCCTGAGTCGGAAGAATTGGTCATTGTTTGACTGGCGATTACTTCCCGGCGCAACCGTGGATACGTGGAATGTTCGAGCCAAGTTCCAACATCCAGTTGATGATGGTGATGATCATGACCTGCCACCTCTTCCTATGAGGACAGCTCTCAGGCAAATCACGTGTGGCATGCTGACCCCGTGTTTCGCGCGCCTTGTTTGCAATGTTTGTCTTACCCCTCATGCGGGATGGAGGTGGTTGTTTGTATTGTCGTTACCAGGAAAGATACGGTACCTCGTGCCAGATATTTAGTCACAGGCAGTTATACCAAGATCAGCTGTTGAGGAAGTCTGCGAGGGACTCTGTAACTTTGAAGTATAGGCCCTGTCTGAATACCTTATGATTTCAACAACTTGTACATATATACTGTAGATGAGACTTGGTTTGTGAGGGGTGCCAACGGAGAGACGGAGCTGAAAGTAGGGGGGCGGGCAGATAGGTACCTTACTCCATACTGATAAGGAGCTAGCTGATGCAGATAACGGGTAAACTTTGGTTTAATTACGTATGAACAGTCAGCCTACCATGGAGAGATGTCATCTACCTATACTCCTGACCTGCATGAGTTCCCCCTCCCCCTCTCTTGAACCGTTTACCTGCTCTACATCTCTCTTTGAACAACTATCTGATATCTTTTCTTAAGTCCTGAGTTTTGGAGCGGCCATACGAGACGGTAGCTCAGAGATACTGGAGATAATTACTGATTTGGAGGCTTGGACGACAGAACAAAGTCTGGCATCCGAGTCATATTGAATCCCGCATCTACAAGGCGTATCTAAGGGTACAGATCCCCAAGTACGCTGGTTCTCGCGACAGCTCCGCACTCGAGCAGGGAGAGTGCAGTAACTTATTCCGTCCTTCCTCTTCAGGTCTTTGTCACTCCAATCAATAAACGATAGTATGTTTCAATGAGAGCCCGCAACTGCTTCTTGCGATGACTCACGCTGACAAGCGTTCTGTACACAAGGTTCCAGGCAGTCTCTAGATAGGTTCCCAGCTCATCGATCGTTTTTGCCAGTCAACGTCATTGTTTGAACACCCGTTCTCAGACCTTATCAGAGGTCTTGAGGGCGGTCTCCTTAGTGAGATTCTCTGTTGCCTCCTTGAGGCACTCCTTCCAGTTGAATGCCCCCGGCAGCCTCGGACGACTTATTTCGCCAGCAGGGCCGGGCTTCAGGCGATCTGATCCCCCTTCCTTCAGAATTTTCTCGGCCAAGTCCCGAAAACAATGACAATATTGGAAAAACGAAGAAAAAGGGTAAAAACGGCAAAGGAGGTAAAGGGGCCAAAGCGGTAGCCAAGTCTCCGCCTGATGACCTGTATGCATGAAAATCACTCCTCTTCAGGCCATAAGCGTCCTAAAACTGACAAAATCTGCCCTTGATGTAACAGGATTGACACTTCTGCGCCTGTGCTAGCTGAACCAGCGTCTTATTCAGATACTCCGTCAGCTCCCCCTAGTAATCCGGTTGCCTCGGCCGTTCCAGACGCTTTTGGGTCTCTTACGGAAACGACGGAGAATGATCTTGCCATCCGTACGGGAACATGGGCAAAATCAATTCCATATGGGAAAAGTCCTCCAAATGATGGCATTCCTGAGGAGCTCGCAGGCGGGTCTCCCCTTAGCTTCCCTACACACCTAGATAAAGGTGGTTTTAGTCAACCGTCGTCAACCTCTCCCCCTCCTMGAAGGAGACCCTTGAGCTACGGTAATGGATACCTGAGCAGCAATTTGTCCAGGCAGCAATCTGTAGACAGGCAGAAGAGCCATTCTCTGAGTGGCCCGTACGATGGTCATATCCCCCTGCCTCATCTGCGGCAACCTCACTTCTACGGTGCACCGGATATTGATCTCCCTCCATTTACTGGTTCAAACCGGACAGCTGGAGATGACGGTTACTCATTCTGTGGCTTTGACACTTTGTCCGGTCCAGCGTTCAAGTCCTCCAAGATGGGTGGCACCGTGATGCTTGTTGGCACTGATGGGGCCTTGGACGTTCTTGCAATTGAAGACCGCAAAACGCGTTTAGTGGGAAAGCTCAGTGGGCTCAGAGGCCGGGTGATAGAGGCAAAAATCTTAGCCTCTACCTCATCGAACGATCCGTTCATTTCGTCGAGACCGCATGTCGCCGTCATAATACACGGACCCTGTGCCTCGAGTGAAGACGAAGGCCGGACATCTTCTGCTGCTTCGGAAACAAATGAGATACCACCTAGTCAGACTGGAAGGCTTCCGCCGGGTGAGAAACGCGTCAGCAAGGATGAGCCGAAACTGTACCAAACCAGAGCCGAGATTTACTCTCTCAGGAGCGGAGAGCAGATCGCAACACTGTTCACCACGAAACCTACTCCTTGTTTTGAGAACATTCCCGGATTGCCTGCTCTTGCCCCATCTCCTACTGGGAATCTAAAGCTGCTCGTCAGCGGGAACCATATTGTGTTGGCATCCGGCGTTAGCGGGGAGGTGTATGTATACGGCATAAATCCCTTCTCACCGTCATGTGCATACCAGTGCTTGGGTAAAACCTGGACAAGTGTACAGACACGAGAGGCTCGGCGATACTCAACATCATCCAATTCAACTGATCCGGATGCATCTCGGAACGACTCCCCACATGGTTCTGCCGTTTCAGATTACCCTGTGCTGGCGCTTAGAGGACGATGGCTAGCCATAGTGCCACCGTCCTCAACTTATAGGGCATCTATTCGTGGAACGGTGCCTGCCTCACTTATTCAGGGCAAAGCTTTCGGGCTCGAGACGCGTAGTCCTCCAGCCAAGCCGCCAGTCACCTCCGCAACGGACGTTGGCGAAGGCGAAAGTCTCTTTGACAAAGTAGCAAGGGGTGTCACACAAGAGMTGGTACGTGGTGCCCGCTGGATGGGTGACCAGGGACTTCAAGCTTGGAACAATTATTGGAATAAAGACCAGTCTCAGACCACCTCCTCGCGGCGATCTCCAAATTTTATGGATTTGCCGCAACAAGGATACAGTCTCTTCCCGCCGACACACGCCCAGGAAACTCAGACGACATCGCCTGCAGAACCCGATTTTGTCTCGATACTGGATTTGAGACGATTCGATGATGGCGGCGAGACAAGGAATGCTATGCTCAACCCCATCGCTACCTTCCAGGTCCCTAATGGATGTAGCTTCTTGTCATTCTCCCCTAATGGCTTGATGCTACTTACAGCGAGCAAGAAGGGGGATGTCCAGTACGTTTGGGACTTGATGCAAGCCAGGCATTGTCGGGCAGGGGTCTTCCTCTCCGAGGACTCCACAACGCCATCAGCCAACGTGCGACAAGTTGCGCGGTTCGCACGTCTTACTACGTCTTCTATTGTCGATGTGATCTGGTCCCCTCCATCCGGAGATCGGCTGGCAGTGATAACCCGCAAGGGTACGGTGCACGTTTTTGACCTTCCTCGCAGTGCTTTCCAGTGGCCTCCGTTCCGACGAGCTCGTCCTCAACCCCACAAGTCGCAAGCCAACAATTCCCCCACGGACGAAGCGACTGAAAGAGCGGCTGTGACGAATCCGCTATCCGCCGCGTTTAAACTCGTTGGTGGAAAAACGCAGCCTATTCTGGCTGCTGTCAAAGGCCGCACTCCTTCCGCGGGCTCTGCGTTTCCTGCAGTCGGTGCGTTCGCAATTCCCTCCGCAGCTGGAGTCCGAAGTGGGAGGGCGGTTGCTGCTGGCCTTAGCAAATCGATGGGTGCAGCGACTGGTACAGTCAATACTCTCCGGCACGCTGGTGAAAATCGACTGCACCTCTCCGGTCTTGCGCGTGACCCAGCCGCGTCTCGTGTCGTTTGGATCTCGAACAAAGGGCAGCCTTTCCTGGGCGTGGTAGACAA